AACTTTGTTTTCACTTGCTGATTAAAATGCCAACGTGAAAACGCCTTCCTTGCCCATTTGGTCTAGAAATACACATTCTATTCGTGTCACTAGGAGAGAAAATCTATCATTCGTGGGCTCCCTTAAGACCTGGCTTCGGGGCGGGGCTTTACTTCCCTGAGTCCCCGCACCCCCCCCCCACTTGGCAGGCCAGATAAAAGAGTAGAGTTACATTTTCCCTTAAGTTTCTAAGGTGAAACGCGAACACTGGATTCTGGGCTACCAAAAAAAACAAAACAACAACAAAAAACCCCCTCCGCTTGCCAAATCTGATACCAAAAGTTAACTAGCTCTTGGAACTGTACTTCTACGGAACATGCATTAGTGGGAATTTTAACAGAAAACCCATTATTATACCCACGCAGTTACTAAAACTGCTGGAAGTTCTCCTCTTCAGAAAAAGAGAGAGATTCATTCAATACACATAATTCTGAAGAAAACAGAACACTGGTTACCTATTAAAATTCCTTTTCAGGAGGAGCAGGCCTGTGGGAGAGCAGATGAATCAGATGCTGGAGGCGTCCCTACAGCATCCGGCGACCAAACAAATCCAAACCCAAAGCGTGCCACAGTGGCTACCCTAACTGAATCGACCCGAAAACTGAAACCCAGGGCCCAGCACTGGACTCAGCAGCTCAAAGTTTAAGGGTTCTGTTTTTCTTTTAATATATCTCACGTGACGAGCCCACGCCATCAACTAACAAAATGTAGATTCTAATTCTCAGTGTCCATGTTGACGATACCTGTGGTACACATACAAATCATAGAAGGTAATCGAAAGGACGGTCTTCATATCGTTTCAGCATGAGGATGCTATTTGCCTCAGTTGTTATTCCGCTATGTAATTCAAAACACCACTTCACTGCAATTGATAATTATCTGCGAACAAAATCTCAAGTTAAATGCAGAGGGCGAAAACACGGTTCTTGGAGGCTGGAGTGGAACCGGGAACCAAGCAAAAAAGGCAGGCAATTCTTAAAAAGGTACTGGCTCCATTTTCAGAGAGCTGGGACTTGTCATTTTTGTTTTGTCGTTAAGAACACTCATTGACAAAAGTGACTTCCCTATGAACACTCGTGGTCTCAAGGTAGTATCAACATCTTTGGATTCATAAGCAAGATCTTTTAGAAGAGCCTTTTAACTGTTCTTGATTTTTATGATCTCCCGGACCTCCCAGGGGCCAAGGACACAGGAGGGAGAGGTCATAATTACCCCATTTTACAGACAGAGAAAGTGAGAAAGAGGGATTGAATGGTTTCCTTCTGTCACACAATGACTCATTAAATCAGCAACCAGAAGCCCGGTTTCCTGATTCCTGGTTTAATGTTCCACATACTAGGCTTCCTTCTACGAAGTACTATTTTTGTAAAGGTTTCTCTTTCAATAAAGGAAATGGAACAAGTCACATGACTTTCATTCACGAAAGCCTGTGTGTTTTCATTAGCACCTTGGCTGTCTGTTCCTGGGAACGGGGCAGGAGTGGTGCTCGTTATTATCTTATTTCGACAAGAGCTGGCCAACCAAAGCAGGCGAGCAGGCACGACAGAAACATAAAGGCCATGTGGTTTGTCGAGCAATCGCACTGGAGTTCTAAAAATACTCAAGTTCTTTGTTTTAAGACTTCCAACAGGCAATCTTTTTAAACAGAAATCGTGCCTGTATTGTGCCTTTGGAAACCTTCCTCTTATCCTAAACTCCTTTGGCCGTAGGACGTGAATAAATACTCCTTTTATCAAACAAAATTTAAACAGCAGATGCTTTCCATGGTCACTCTTATCTAATCTGCCTTCTACATCCCTAAAAACCCACTTTAGAATAAAAGTCCCACCAAAGGGGAACGCTAAGATAGCACCTTTTTTTGATACACACCAATCTATCATCATAGCACAAAAGCGAGTAAAATTAATTTTCAAATGCTGTTTTAAAGCATAAATTCAGTCCTACGTATCTACTTCTCCAAGAACGCTCTGACACACTGGTTACACTTCCCTACATTTCCACACGCAAAACACACAGTAAGGACCTTCCCTTATTCCTAGTAAGATGCAGAGCCCTTAGTTTTTATTTGCTCTGGATTAATATGTAACTATTGTATGATATATACTGTTATTACGTATTAATATAGAGTATACACACACACACACACACACACCCCACACCCATAAGGTGTGCTAACTGTTTCTTAGGCTCTAGCACCAAAGTCCCACCTCCCCCCCAATTGTATGGTCAACAACTATCAAAACTGCAGAAACCTTATGTCTTTATTACCACTTAACGCACATGCCAAACCCTCCCCCGTGACCCCCCGCATTATTCTGCTCTGGCATAATTAAGGACGTTGCTCACCACTTCTCACGGTGGCATAATCAGTGACACGTTCTCCACTTCTCAGGGCCTGGGGAGTTCTCTTCCTAGCTCCTCTTCAAAGGAATGCTCTGCAAGTCTTCCTCCCATAACCCCTACTCCCAAAGAAGGCTTATCTCCTGTGAACTTATTTATGAGCACCACGCACACATCTCTACAGGCACGCGTGAGTTCCATAAAAGTGGACGTCTGTCTGGAGTTTCTCACTGTTTCCCTCCTGGCTCCGCGGACCACGGTTCAGGTTCCGCGCGCATTAAAGATGACGTCCTGGTCTTTCCTATCTTCCTGCTCTTTGAGTCGGAGGAACTTACTAGAAATCCACTTATCACGCAGTCGTCTTCACAGACTGTGGCTCTGACACAATGGATCAACTGCAGTTTTCGATTTTGCTTAAAAATAGTCCTTTTCCCTCTTTAAAGGGTGTTGACCATAATGCCCACAGACCCTCCGGAGGGCCAGGCACCACACACGATCTCATCTTTGCTCAGCCACCCAGGTGCGTATGACCGGCAGCTCTGGCCTAGTCCTGAATCCTACAGGTTGAAAAGAAATGTATACTGGTGGGAACACAGAATAAGCTAGAATCAGGTCTCTAACTCGACTTCTCTCCTGCAGTTTAAAACGTTCCCGAGGCTGAAGAGGGCCTGATATCACACACGAATCGCGTTTCTGAATGTATCTCTTTTATCAGAAAGGCCATGAATCCTTCTGGTGTGTAGACGGAAACCCAGCACACTCCGGCTCCCGGGGCCCTCCGAATCCAGGCCGGGTTTTGGCCGCCTGCTTCGCCCAAAGCAGTAGAAGGTGTTGGGTTCTCAGGCTGCTTTTCCGACGAGAATCAGATTTCAGCAAAACGTACTTTCACGTTCACTAAGGCGCACACCCATCTGGGCACACGAAAAGACTTTTTGTGTGTTTGCCTTTTTCCTCCACTCCGTTCCAGTCATGCCGGTGTGTTTCCACGGTCGGGGTCCTAGACTTCAGCTACTCCTCCACCTCCTGGACACACTGGCAATTTTCTGGAAGGAACTGTACTGCCCAACTTAAACTCGGAGCAAAGTGACCTTCAGTGGAGAGTAGTGGTTTATGGGATACAGTCTGACAAGTTCCAGCTGAGTTCATTAGATCCTAACGCGCCATATTCCGGCTAATTCTCTAGGACTCTTTCCATCTTCTATTCTACGGTTTTTATAAAAAAGCAAAGAGCTCTTCCTCTTTTGTACAGAACAACAGGGTGTTTACCTTCTAGCTACGCTGCTAAATCCCAGGGGCTACCAGTCCTACGCATGTTATAAACCTTAGGGCGGACTGAGACGGCGTTCGGTTGCTCTGTGTACTTTACCAGCAAAAGGTGGACGGACCCCACGCCACCCCGATCAGCACCCTGGAGCCCCTGCAGACTGCTGACCCCAGGCCGGCATCTACGTGACCCCATCACCGCTTTGCCTCCGCCGGTTCCCAGAGAGCCTCTACTTTCCTAGCAACCCCCCCAGAAAGATCCATAATTAGAAACTTGTGAACTGAACATTCACCGCCTCTCATTCCCTCTCCGCCCCCAGCCCCAGCGTTCGAAGTCTGAGATCCTCGGAAAACACCACCAGCTGCAGAGCAAACACACCTCTCTCTCCTCATGGATATTTAACGAGACTGCAAACAACAATATGGGCACCGTCCTGTCCGACTGTTCTGGAAAAGACCGGGGCTGCTGTCCTCCACTGGTTTTCTCTAAGGCACCGATTCCGAATCCTGTCTGCACGTTACATCCCCTGGGCAGACTCTGAAAAACACTGGTGCCTGGGCTCTGCCCTCTGGAGGGCTCGGCTGAGTGTGCCCTGGGGGGAGGCCCATTCCTCCACTGCCTCAGGTGAGTGGAGCCCACAACAGAGCTCTCAGGGGACGCGGGGACGCGGGGACGCCCCCCCCCCCCGCATCCGCACAAGCCACACCCCAGACTGCACCAGAGTCCCTGGGGTTTACGCAGCAGCCCAGCCCTCCCGGTTTCCGGCAAACGCTGGCCAGGCGACTCCCGGGCAGGCTCAAGTTTGAGAACCAGTGCTCTGGAGGGGCGTGTAAACACTGTCACCGCGTCAGACCCTCCGGAGAAAACGGGGTATCTCTTATGGAAACTGAGTGGTTAACGGACTGTTCCCCGCTGCGGCCACCAAACGGGTGCTCGTTTTCTAAATGACTTTGAAACTTGTGTTCCTCAACTCTGAGGCTCAGCAGGAACCAGGTGGGACCTGGTTCCGGGGAGACAAAGAGACAGGGGAGGGGCCAGTCGGGGCTTCAGGTCAAGCACCCCCAGCTGCCACTGGCGGGGGGGCGGGGGTTCTGACCTGGGGGCTGTCCTGCGGAGGAGGGGAGGGGCTGTGGGGAAAGAACAAGGGGGCGGAGCCCAAACAAACCCAGTCTCCCAAGCGCCCCAGGCTGCACATCCATCCAGCTCAGAACCACTAAGCCACTCTGGCCACGGGAGCCGGAGGAGAAGCCAAACCGGGAGGCCGTCCAGCATTCCGGCGCCTGGGTCCCGGGACAAAGGAGAGACCCGGAGAGAAGCCCTCCCCGGGGTCGCGCCCGCCGGGCGCCCGGGGCCTCACCTTTCACGATGGTGGCCTCCTTCAGGTGATGCGACAGGAAGTCAATGCTGGCGTAGGTGCTGGCGGAGGGCAGGGCGCCAGGGCCCGGGCCCCCACACACGCCGCCGGCGCCGCTGCCCCCCACGGCGGCGCTGATGAGGCCCCCGAGGCTATGGGTCCGGCCCCAGGCGCCCTTCTCCCCCGGCTGCGGCTGCGGGTGCGGCCCGGCCTCGTCCCTCACGTCGATGGCGATGTAGTTGAGGCCGTTCTGGAAGCCGGCGGACGTCTCCCTGCGCATCGGGGAGCCCGCGGCCAAGGCCCCCGGCTGACCCGGCAGCCACGGCCTGGCCTGCTGGGGCGGCGGGGGCTGCGCCTGGCGCGGGGACGTGGGGCGCTCCTCGCCCCCGGCCAGGCCGCCGCCGCCGCCGCCTTCGCTGCTTTTCCTGAGAGAGACGTTTTCCACGGAGGCCGAGTTGTGGCGCTTCGGGTTGTGGGCGAAGGACGGGGACACGGGGGTCACAGTGGTGGTCGAGGAGAAGGTCTCGGAGCTGTGGCGGCGGCGGCCGCCCTGCGGGTCCGCGCGGATGACCTTGGCGCCCCTGTGCGGGTCCGGGGGCTGCGCGGCCTGCAGGAAGGCCTCCACGCCCGACACCTGCTCCATGAGGCTCAGCCGCTTGACGCCCGACGCGGGGCTGGCGACGCGGGCGCCGTCCGGCTTCGGGGGCGCGGCGATGGGCTGCGGCGGGGTGGCGGCCACGCCGAAGGCCATCTCGGTGTAGTCCCCGTTGTCCGCGGCCTCGGGGGACGAAGGGGAGGCGGCGCTGGGGCCCGGGGCAGGGGGCGCGGGGGGCCGGCGGTACAGCTCCCCGGGCGGGGGCGGCGGCGGCTGCAGCGACGAGGCGGGCGCGGCGGGGCGCGGGGGCAGGGGCGGGTAGGGGGCGGCGGCCTCGGGGGACAGGAGGGCGTCCAGGGAGCCCACGGGGTCCCCGCCCGGGGCGCCCGGCTTGGGCGACTTGGGCGAGCTGAAGTCGAGGTTCATGTAGTCGGACAGCGGGGAGCGCTGCCTGCTGTCGCTGCTGGTGCCCGGGGTGCCCGAGCCCAGCGAGGAGGCCGGGCTGCCGGCGGCCAGCAGCGGGGGCGCGGGCGGCGACAGGCGCGCCCCCGCCTCGCCGAAGTCGATGTTGATGTACTCGCCGGGGCTCCGGGGCTCGGGCGGCAGCGGGAGCTCGTGCATGCTGGGCAGGGTGTGCAGCCCCTCGAGCGACAGGCGCGTGGGCCGCACGGCCCGGCAGCGCGGGCCCAGGAAGCCGCCGGCGCCGCCGCCCGGCCGCGGGGGCGAAGGCACGACGGGGTGCGGGGGCCGCGCGTGGCCGCTGGCGCCCGGGCTGGGGGGCGGCGCCGGCCTCTCCTCCGGGATGCGCCCCACGGGCGAGCTCATGAGCACGTACTGGTCGTTGTCGCCGGCACAGGCGTAGGGCGCCTTGCAGGAGCGCGGCAAGGGGCCGGCGCAGCAGCCGGGCCCGCCCTGCAAGGCGGCGGGGAAGAAGTCGGGGGGCGTCCCCGGGGCGCCCGCGTCGCTGGGGGACATGTTGAGGTAGTCCCCGTTGGCCAGCAGCTTGCCGTCGCCGCTCTCCACCGACAGCCTGGAGCCGCACCACATGCGCATGTAGCCGCTGTCCTCGGGCGAGCTCTCGGCCGGGGAGCCCGCCTTGCAGCCGCCCCCCGCGGCCGGGAAGGGCCTGCCCGGCGCGGGCGCGGGCCCCGCGGCTGCCGCGGGCGGCGCGGCGGGGGCGCCGGCGCGGGGCTGCAGGATCTGCTTCGGGGCCGACACGCTGGTGGGGCTCATGGGCATGTAGTCGTCGCTCCTGCAGCCGCCGCCCGCGAGCGCCCCGCCGGGGGTCATGGGCACGTAGCCGTCGTCGGCCCCCGAGTTGCTGCTGGAGCTCCTGTGCGACCCGATCTCGATGTCCCCGTAGTCCTCGGGGTAGGGGTGGTAAGCCCCTCGGGGGGACGCGGCGGGGCAGGCCGGGCAGGGGCGGCCCGAGCTGCCCGAGAAGGCCACCCGCGTCAGCGTGTACTCATCCAGCGACGCGGAGGAGGGCTGGGGCGCCGGCCGCTGCCGCGCGGGCGTGGTCAGCGAGTAAGTCCTCTTGCGCAGCCCCCGGTCCAGGTCCGGCGCCGCGTCCCCCGACACCCGGCGGTAGGGGCGGCCGCCGTGGCCCAGCGCCCGGTCCATGGTCATGTACCCGTACAGCTCGCTCCCGCCGCCGTCCCGGGCCGGGGGCGTCTCGGCGACGGACTCGGGCGTGGTGCTCCTGTGGCCGCAGAAGGCCCGCAGGTCGCCGGGGCTGGAGCCGTACTCGTCCAGGGACATGAAGCCGGGGTCGCTGGGGGAGCCCGAGGCCGAGGCGCTGCCGCTGGAGGGCCGCTGGCCGGCGGGCTGCTGCAGGGGGAGGTGCGGGTGCGGGCCCGGGGGCGGCGGGTAGGACCCGGAGCCGTGCCCGCTGCTGGACGACAGGCTGCCGGGGCTGGTGGCCGCGGGCGGCGAGCGCGCCACGGGCATGGACATGGAGCGGCTGTGCTGCAGGGCGCCCCCTGCCGGCGCCGGCGCCACCTTGCTCGCGCGCCCGCCGCAGCCGCCGCTCAGGGTGTGCGAGCGGCTCAGGGGCGCGCGCAGCGGCCCGGGGCTCAGGGGACTCCCGGCCACCGACACGGGCCTGCCGCCCGCCGCCCCGGCCGCCGCGCCGCCGTCGCCCTCGCTGGCCGTGCGCACCCGGCACGAGCCGCACTTGGCGGCCGGCGGGGTGGCGGCCAGGCTGTCGGTGCGCGAGCGGCGCACCAGGCCCGTCTGGCTGGGCGGCAGGTGGACCAGGTGGTGGTGGCGGCGCGCGCCGGGGACGCTGATGGGGTGGGTGGACGACGAGCCCGACGACTGGCTCTTGCTGCGCGGCCGGAACTCGAAGAGCTCCTTGAGCGCCTTCATGGCCTCCAGGATGGTCTCGTGGATGTTCTGCGCCACCACCGAGTCGTCGGCCTGCATCCACAGCTCGCCCGGGCCCGTGACGGCCGAGCGCCCCACCTCGATGAAGAAGAAGCTGTCCGAGTGGCCGCAGCGGCGGATGTTCATGAGCTGCAGCGTCACCGACGGCTGCTCGCAGTTGAGCTTCACGAAGCCGATGGTGCGCGCCGACAGGCACAGGCGGTACACGCCCGTCAGGTTCTTGCTCTGGCCCAGGCCCTTGGGCTTCAGGTTCACCTGCCACACCTCGCGGTAGGCGGGCGCCGGCGGCCCGTCGCCGTCCTCGGCCGCGGCGGCGCCGGCCGAGCCGCCCAGGGCGCCGGGCAGGGAGGCGCTGCAGGGCGCGGCGGCGGGGGGCGCGGCGGCGGGGGGCGCGCGGCCCTCGCTCACCAGCTCGGTGAGCGCGCGGTACCAGCCGTCCTGCTCGTGCTCGTTCTCGGCCGCCACGGCGAAGTACTCGTCGCGGGTGTAGAGCGCGATCAGGTACTTGTGCTTGGCGTCGGCGCGCTTGTTGATGTTGAGGCAGCAGTCGAGCGCGATGACCCGCTTCGGGGCGCCCGCCTTGCTCCGCCACTTCTTCTCGCTCTCGTAGTACTCGAGCCGCGGCGGCTGCGGCGCCGGCCCCCCGCCCGCGGCCGCCGCCTCGTCGCCGGGCCCGCGCAGCACGAAGAAGCGCTTGTGGCCGTGCTTCTGCTTGCGCAGGTAGCCGCACTTGCGCACGCCGTGGTTGTTGTTGTTGTTGTTGTTGTTGAGGTTGGGGCCGTCGCCGCCCGCCGGCGCGGGGGGCCCGGGCGGCGGCGGGCTCGCCATCGCCGGCGCCGCAGGCCGCGCGCCCGGCCCGGCGCGGAGCGGCCGCGGGGGAGCGCGGCGGGGGGCGCGGGCGGGGGCGGCTCCCTCCCCCCCGCACCCCCTGCTCGCCCGCGGGGCCCGGGAGGCGGGGGAGGTCCGGGGAGGCCCGCGGGGGCCGGCGCCGCGCGGTGGCGCAGCGCCCTCCGCGCTCCCGGGCCCCGGAGGATGCCCGGCGCGGGCGGTGGCCGCCCCCCGGCCCGGCTCCCCGGGGCCGCTGTCTCCCGGGCTCTCGGGCGGCGCCCGGGGACTCGCTGGCTGCGCCGAGAGTCGGGGTCCCCGAGCCGCGGGGCCGAGCCTACGGCGCGCGCGGCCGCACGGGTCCCGCCGCCGCGCCGCGCTCCGGGGTGCCGGGGTGCGCCCGGCCGCTCGGGGTCCGCGCCGCCCCCGGGGCGGCTGCCGCTGCCGCTGCCGCTGCCGCTGCCGCTGCTGCCAACGGCGACCCGGGCTCGTCGCGGTCCCCGCCGCACAGTGAGTAACACATCGCGCACCGAGTGACTGAACTAAGAAGAGCAAAACAACATGTGACTCGGCGTTACGCAGGCACACACGGCGCGGCCGCCCCGCCCCGCCGCCCGCATTGGCGCCGCGCCCCCCGACGGACGGCCGGCGCGGCCAATGGGCGCGGGCCGCGGGGGGGCGGGCCGCGCGCCCCCGCCCCGCCCCCCTTTCTCCCCGGGCCGCGTTTCCCGCCGTCCCCTCCCCCTCCCGGGGAGGCCGCGGCCCGGGCGGGGTGGGGGCGGCCCGGGCCTCGTTAATCAGAGGCTCGTTGTGGATGCCTGCGGAGGAGACGCCACCCAGGGCGGGAAAAGGGGCGCGCGGGGGGGGCGGGGGCGGCCGCCGCGCGGAGGGCCCTTCCCTCCCGCCTTTGACTCAGTTAATCGGGCTCGGAGCTTCCGCCGGGGAGGAGACGGGGGAGGGGACACTGCGGGGGGCGGGGGCCGGCGGAGATCAAGGGCCGAGACCGCCGGCCGGGGAGGGGCGGCGGCGGGGCGCGCGGGGCCCGGGCGCAGGGCGCTGCTGCCCGGCTCGCGAGGGCGAGACGGGGCGGCGAACCTGGCTGCGCTCTCGTGCCCCCCTCCCCCCACTCGCACCCTGGGGCGCGCGGACCTGGCGCCCAGACGCGGGTGGGCGCGCGCCCGGGTGGTGCCCGGCCCGCGCCGTGTTTACGAGCATCACGTTAGTCACCGGCGCGCGCCGGATCGATAGCAGCTCGGCGCCCTTTCCTGGAAGGAGGGAGGGGCTCCCGGGGTCCCGCCCGCTCGGGGGCGCCCTTCCCCCGCGCCCAGGCCGTGGGCTCTTCCGGGGCGTCCTCCGCGCCATTCACTTGTCAGGTTCCCGGGAAGGTGAAGGCGTCTGCTGGGATGTAACAGGGGAAAGGAGGAGGGAGAGCGGGCGTGGAAAAATGCGGTTTCCATAGCGCCGGAGAGGGGGCGGGCTCGGCTTTCCGCCGCCCGCGGCCCGGGTCCCCCCGGGGGTGCCCCCCCCCCCCAGCCTGCGGGCCCCGCGCGCCCTCGGCGGCCGCCGCTGCCGGCGAAGATGCCCTTGAAGCGGTGCTTCCGACACCCGCGTCTCCGCGGCTTTCCTGTGGCTTCTGTGACGCTCGGAGCCGGTTCCAAATACGAACCCGCGTGGTCGCTTCTCCTAAATGTCAAAGTGGGCGCAGCTGGCGACGACGGGTGTCCCCGAGTCCAGGCCGCCGCAGGCTCCGCGGCTCGGAGGGGCCGAGGCGGCTCACCAAACAGGCCCTTGTCTGCGTTCTTTAATTCGTGCGTCTTCATGGAATCATGTGGAACAATAATGGTGGTTATTTTTTTTCTGAAGTCCTGGAAGTTTGCCTTTGAATGCCCTCTATAGTTTATAAAAGTCGTTATTTAAAATGTAATGAAATCTGAAGTCTAAGGAAAATGAGATTGCAGTTTTAGAGACGGTGATAAATATATTAACATCTTTGTAGGCGTGTGACTTAAAGATCTTCTTAGTTAATATTTATCTGCCCGAAGATAAGAGCGTTTTAATTTTTTTAGCACGTACACAGTTCTGATTATTGATGAGGAGCATAAATTTGGGAAGAATAATCCATGAGGCGTGTATCATAGTAGAGTTTGCCTCAAAGAGGTGAATTTAAAGCCGATCTTCCATTTTCAATCGTGCTTTAAAAAACAACACCGGTGGAAGGTCGTTTCACGTGTGTGCGCCTGCCTGCGTGTGTGTGTGCGCGCGTGTTGGGGGCCATGGTCCTCTGGTTTCCTATTTCTTTTAGATACTGCTGTCCTTCCGAAGTTAACAAATGTTGCCTAGCAATATGTCTACTCTGGAAAGACATGAAGGAATTCTTATCTTGGAGTGTAAGGGAAATGTGGCCCAGTTTTATCGGCTTTGTGAGGATGTCCCTCACACCACACGAGGGATCTAAATGAGCCTGCCTCTGTGGTCAGGAACCCTAACTAGCCCACCATGACCATGGCACCGCCTCTAACTCAGCCTAATGGGATCCTGAGCTCCTCGAAGAAAGTATTTCTTGCAATTGTTCCCTTCTTTCCTTTTGATTGTGGCTTTCCGTACAAAATTGGATTTTCACATATTCACTGAATAACTTGCTCGCTGTGCCCATCAAGTGTTAGCAAGTGTCATCTTCCGAGTGTATGTTTTTTCCATAGGGCCGATCCGGTATCCGATGCCATATTCAAGGTCAGGTGTTAGAACCTCTAAGTCGGCAGCTGACACTTTCCCCGCGCGCTGCCTGGGTCCTCAGGAGAGAAGGTGAGAAACTCTCACCTCCGTCAGTAGCTTTCTCATACCAGAAAAATCCCAGAGCTAAACTGAAAATGAATTGTCATTCTGAAGTCCTAGAATGTCTAAATACGTGTGGGAGGTACACTTTCCATTCTCATTAAGAAGTCAGCCGGGGAACCCACCAGTAAGGAACTCTGTTATTGGAAGCATCCCTGGGTTCTTCCTTAACGAAGGGGCTCATGGTCTTCCTCCCTTCCCATTGCCAAATAAGCTATTTATTTATTTAAAGCTTGTTCTACACCTTGTGATTTTCCAACTGTTCTCCCATACTTTTTCAGCAAAAGTCAGCTAATAACATCTGCCAGGCTGCTCTCCATTCATGGCCTGTTGCCAGCCAGCAGCCTGGATGAAAGTTTTTCTCATGGCCCAAGATCTTCTGCTGGAAGTTCTGTTCGGTTTTATGGATCACCAAACGCCCATATCTTTTAGCAAGGAGTGTTTTTATGTTTGTTTGTTTTGTTTCCTTTGCATAAAATCATGTGCAGGGATTCTTTTATTAAAACAAAAAGTCCTTTCTGGAATAACTCCATTACCTGTTATAAAGCAGTCAATTCTGTAAAAACGTGGACATTAAAAGCGCATCACAGATCCACAAGGTAAATAATAATAATACAAATAGTAGTAAGAATCGTTACTTCTCTGTGTCACGTAAGAAAGGCACACATAAGGAGGAGAAAAGTAGATAGCACTTTAGTGCTTGTGAGCTTTTTTTTTTTAATTCTTCACCCAGTGTAGCTGCTTGTCAGTATTTTCTATCTAGATGAACTGTGTCTAAAAACTAACTTAGCAGACAGTTGAGTGGAACACTATACGACCAGTTAGAATAGCTTCAATTTAAAATGTGCTTTATGAGGGAAAACTAAACTAAACTAAACTAAAATGTGCTTTAGGAGGTATAGATTTCAACTTCAGAGGCTTATGTCCAAGGGCATGTTCAGTCTTTTTAAAAAGTAGAGCATTTCATCACATTTTGGTTTATTAAATAATGTAGTTCAGTAACTCATTTAATAAATTTCTCCCTCTCTGATGGATGAACCGTGAAGAGACAGTCTTTTCCTCATCTAGAATTCATAAGGGGACTTCCTGCACTTTAAAAGCTGGGTTTCTTTTTTTTTCACAAATATATTTGCTAATATGTTTCAACTGAAATTTCACAAGAATTTTGTAACATGCTAATTCTGTGCAACAGAATGATTTACGTGAGAGAATGTAACTACTGTTTGGAGAGCTTACTACGTGTGCATGGCATTCCAAATGTCTAAAGGACCAAGATTTGGTAATAGATTGTATTGGTTCCTTGGAAATTGTAAAAGCTTTCGACTTCAGTACTTATTTTGCTCATTACAAATACGTGTATATCTTCATATGTCTCTTTCTGAAATGGTCATTGGGGAGAAGGGGTTTTCTCAAATAAATGACTCTTTCGTGTCCATGTACGGTGGAGCAAACTACTAGAACTTTAAAAATAACAATTCTTCTGGAAAAATCTATGCACTGAATTAAAACTCTTTAGAAAAAAGCTCATATAGTAGGACAAGCACAGCTACCCCAATACTCAACATTTTCATTTTAAATATAATTATGCTGGAGAAATATAAACGTAAGCCACCAGTTACAAAGTGACTATAGTTAGTAATGTAACATTCTTATGAATTCACCTCTGGATTTTGTTGTGTTTGAATCTTGAGAATATGTTTCTAAATTAAGAACAAAACAAAACAACCCTTCCCATCCCCCCCCATGGAATTTCCATGATAGAAATAAAAAATGTACATTAATGACTGCATCACATTACTGAACCATGAAAAGGGGGGGGGGAGGCTCTTCTTAGAATAACCCCCTTGGAATGCTTGGCCCTGTCACAGAATCACGTTTTGCACGACCAGACAGTGCCCTGGGTGGCACCTGCTGTCAGTGTTCAGTTGCTGGCTTAAAACGTTGTTTGTTTGTTGTTATTGTAGTTTTCTCTCAGAGCAGAGCAAAATTGCTGCTTCTCAGTGCGTAGGTCATGAGCAGATGACATTAAAAAAAAGTCTCTAAAATGACACAGCTATATTTTCTAGAAGGGAGGGGGAGTGAGCGTGTCCTTGAACAGAGCAAATGTTGGGGAGGAAAGATCAGCCCGCGTTCCTGGATCCCACTGTTTGCTCTAGGAGTGAGCTTTAGCC